AAGCCTTCTTGAATATATAGTAGATTTAAGTGGCCAAAGTTAAGTCAATACACGTGAGAATACCCCTTGTTATATAAATCTAATGAAAATTTCCAGGTTTGCAAGTCAGAAAACTATTCTTGCAGGTACTGTGCCCATGCGTGCTTCTAGGATCCAAAGTCTGGCTCCTTCAGTGTGAAACCCCTCTTCTGCCTTCTGAAGCCTTCAGTTTAGAAAAGGTCGTAACAGCATGCTGAAAGACAAGGAACCTCAGACTGCATCTACAGAGACAGTTCTGCACAGCATCAACATGCCCAGAAGTGTTCCTTCACAAGTCGTGAACCCCATCCATGTAATCAGAGCTGTGGGAGTTGGAGTCTTTTGCGGTGCAAACCAGAAAATCCAAGCGGAATTGCTCTTGCATATTAACCAGCTTTGCTGAAATTTGTTTTCCCCCATTCATAGTGGATATGGAGCAGTATGGATTTGTTGTACTCAGTCCCATCATCCACATCATTAATGAAAATGCTAAAGTGTTGGCATTGTATTTTCACATAGAAAACTCATACTTCAGACAATCTGCACCTTTTTAACACCTTTTCAAGGTATGGCCCCAGACAACCCATGCTGGCTCATTACCAAGGTAACGGAGGCGGAGGGGAATCAGATCTAAGAAAGTCTCCGGGACAACTAGAACAGGCTACAGGGGGATCAGAAGCAAGCCATTACTGAGAAAAAGAGGTCTGGAAACATACCTGTCCTTCACTGCTGCTGAACGACGGCGGGGGGGTGGTTGGTTTGTGTTTTTTCACAGACAACCAAACCCTGAAATAATTATTCCAGTCTGGCTGGTGCTGGAATTTTGTGTCCGAGTTGGCATGCCATGTTTTAAGAGAAAATAGGCAGAAATTTAAGGTAATCCTATAGAGGGAAGGAAGAATTAGAAGTGCAGAATAGATTGCTGAGAGGAAAACCTGGGAAAAGAATGTGGAAAAAAGAAAACTAAACAGTCTTCCAGTGTGCTAATGTTCATTACAAAGAGGATGTAAAGGATGAAATTGGCTTAATTTGCAGACAGAAAGATTTAGGTTAAATAGTAAGGGGAAAAATGCATAAATATAAGGCTAATTTTGGACTTGAGGCTACCTAGAAAGTTCAGACAACGATCCTGCCTCCAAGCAGAACAATAAGCTTGGGGAAACTCATGAGAACCTTTCTCTGGCTTTTATGACTATATATATCAAAGGCTGCTCTACCCATTCACAGAGTTTCAGAAAGGTTTACAGGATTAAATGTTTAAGAGTTAATAAAACACATTATCAATTCTACACTGTTTCTTTGGGTTTTTCCCATCCAAATAGTAATTGTATGTGAAAGGGCTGACACTAAAAAGCAACAGGCAGGGTTCACGCAAGTTCAGTTCCCATCTGATCATTTTAATGATGCTTGGAGATTGAAATGAAATTGGAATCGATACAGGTTTGTTCTAAGAATCCTTAATATTTTCATATTTGTCTGAACATGGGTCCTTCCCCTTCATAGAAGGGGCAGGTTAGAGCTCCAAATTCTCTTGCATGATATCCCAAGGTGCAGAAGTCCAAACGAGCAACAAGCTTTGTGGTATAGCCCAACCCAAAGATATCTTCAAGCAGTCTATAATCGGACACCTGATGCACAGCCCTTGAAGCGCAGTAATTCTGGTGCAACAGACATGAACAATGAGGGGGAAATGGATTTTAAACAAAGAGATAAGTGCACCAGTAAGGAAGGAGCATCAGAACTGAAGAAAAACTGAAGGAAAACAGGTAGGGTCACATGGAATTTGGGTTTTAAATTGCACACAAGCCACTTCAGAGCATCACAAGAGCTCTGAGTAGTTGAGAACACTCTGGTGGTGCCTGAATGTTCGGCAGCTACTGGAATACTTCACAGCCTGCACCCTTGTTTGTCCCCATCAAGAACCAGAGGGAATTTGGACTGAATTTCAGGCAAAGCCTGTGGTTTAGCTTCCTCCAAAGGAGCTACCTAGGTTGGGCAATCAAATCATTTGCTTCAAAACTGCACTGCTCCAAAGCAAATTGCTCATCTTGAGAAAGCCTAGCTAAGCCTAAACTGCACTAAGGTGGTCCCAGTTTTCATCTTTCCTACAGCTCCATGCTTCTTTCCCATCTGCATCTGTTAGGGAGCACTCACTCCCGAAGGAACCAGGAGCCTGTAGCAGTGCATGGTAACGTGGCTAGCAGGAAGGTGGCCTCACCAATATCCAAGCAAGGCAAGCCCAAAGATGGGAGTCAGATTCCAGAGTCCAGATCACCAGGCAAGTCCACTATCCTGTGGCAGGTCCCAGATCAAGCTGAAAAGTTAAGCTGCAGTTCGGGGCTATCTCCAGTAACTGTTATTAGAGTCATACACAGTTCAGTGATCACTAGGCAGGTCCACGTGATATGCAAGGCCCAAGAAGTAGTGTAGGTCTAAGGGTACAGCTCAAGAAAAGCCTGAGTGCTCTGGGCTGAGCATAAATGGGGCTCTTGGGCCCACAGACAGCAGGTCTGGGGGTTCCAGGTGAGCCTTGCCATGGCCATTAATTCCTATTAGTGCACTCAGGGCTGTGATAATTGCAGACAGACAGAAAAGCTTAGGGAGCTGATGTGGCTGAAGAGTGGAGGGGTTTCTTCTTGGTCATATCATGTCTGTGTATAAGCTCTAGTGCTCATCTGAGGGAGGGAATACACCAGGGGATGGGGAGAATGTGGGACTGCTCCGACTGGCCTTCCGTCAGCCTCAGAGCTGCACTTGAAGAAGTCATGTAACTCGGCAGTAACAGATGAAAAAGTGTGCATGCTTTGATGGAAAAATGTGACCTGATCCTTCATGAGCTTATCCTCAAAGTTTTTGCCTACCAGCTTGCATGAGGAAAAATAAACCTCTCTAGATTGAAGGCCAAAGGTGAGCTGTATTCCATTTTATTTGGTCTTCAGTCTCATTCTGAAATCTTTAGAGTGTAAAACTGATAAGCACCATCTGACATCTGATGCCTGAGTGACTTCAGCTCATATTAGTGGACCAGTCAGCACTCATTTGGTTGGGCATGTGATTTTCTGGAGCTCATCATACAAGGCAGTATTAAACTCTGTATGTGTGTTTGTGCCATACAAGAGCATTTTCCAGACCCACTCAAGCAATTTACAAAGGAAGTTTGTAAATGAAACTCCCATTCTGCTGCCCTCTTCTCTAAGCAGCTCCTTTCTTTGCTGAGTTCTGTCACTTGTTCGGGTCTGCATAAAAGCCTAAAGCAGAAGTTCATAAATCAGCTTCTCTAATGTGCCACTGAAAATCTTCTACCTCCATGACCTCCCACTGCCTATCTACACCACAAAGAGTGGTCATATACCTATGAAGAAAAACACATTCGGGGGCGAAAAGAGCTATCATGTGAAACAAAGGTAAGAACTGTGCTTGTGCAGGAGAGCTCAGTTTCTGCTGAATGAGCCATGAGGTGGAAAAAGAGGTCATATAGCCTCTTGCATTGATGAAGATTTACTAGTCCCTAAAGCCCACTCAAGCTGCACACCTTGTTGGGAGGGACAGGTCTGGGTGACCACACAATTATTTCAGATGTTATGGGAACACACAGCAAGAGTGCTAAAGCTCTCTGCACATCTTCAGCAAGATACATGGAAGAAAGGGATGAATTTTGCTTCTTGCTCTGCCTACTAATATATTTTAACAGAGAGAATTACTGGTAGCTACAATTGGGAATTGTTACTTATACCAGAAAAACACTGCTGTTACAGGAATATACACAGTGCTTCTGGACATAAGGGCAAGAGATGAGATTTATTATATCAACTTTGTGTCTGCTAAGAGCCTTCCCTTTCCAGTTGTTCTATATTACTTAAACTGTACTGAGTGTACGGTTTGCTGGAACAACAAAAAATGCAGGTGGGGCTGAATGTCACATCCCAGAGGTTTTTCATGCAATTTCTGCCCCTCCTGATGAGGGCAAATTTGACACTTTGCCTTCCAGTTTTCTTTCTACAAAGACTAAGATGGAAACAGCAAATGAGTGGCTTGTTACTTCCTCTCAGCGTCTGTGGGACTGTGGCGCCAACAACACTGATGCAAAAGGAAACCCTTTTCATTAGTTGCTAAAACAGCAGACGCTTGTTTTCCTTTGGCTGCAACATCCTCCTGACTCCCACACAAGAAGCACTCCTGCAGTATTCCACATAGGCAGAATACGTCCAGTTCCTAGAAGTCCAAATACAAGAAACTGTAGCCTGTTTTAGAAACCACGCTGATCTTGGATTATGAAAGGGAGAAGTAGTCTGCTTTCATGTGTAACCCTGGGCTACTGTGCCTGGGTTCTTTTCTTGTCTTTGTCCCTAGACTTTTGATGACCTTTGGCAACAAATCCTTCCGGTGTGTGCCTCACCTGTAAAATAAGGCTAATACCAGGGAGTGAAAGACTGGACATTATTGTTATTTCGTAGACAACCTCCTACACATAATAAAGGTAACTATGAAGGGTGAAATTTGCTATTACTGGTTTCTAAATGCACCTAGGTAAATTATATCATGAGAAAAACAGCCACTCTCCTACTGTTTCTGTTCTTTTGCACCAAAGCAAATGAGTCAAGTGGCTTCAGAAACTGGCCACATTACTAAGATAGAGAGGGCATGTTGCATATTCATAAGAACTTAAGATTCTTTTATTTACATTTTCATTGCTAGGGGCTGTGAAATGGAACAGAATTCTATTTACTAAATACTATTCCTGGTGCAATAAGTTAAAGGATTTCTCAATTAATACATGGAGCTTATGTATAAAAGACAAGAGGTTAAGCAATACTGCAGTGCCCAGTGGACCATCTGGTGAACATTAGGATGTCAATAAATCATAAAAGCACCAGTTCATCAAGAAAATTCCATTTCAAACCACTAACAGGAAAAAAAAGGCTGGGAAAAAACTCACAAAATTGGTATTTTCATATTTTATAAAAACAGGAGCATTAAATGACTTTAATCCAATTTCAATTGTTTTATTGGTTCTCTTCTGATGACCACATGGCTTCACATACTGAATGTTTAGCCCTTTGTCTTGCACACAAAAGCATTATGAAATAACTCGGTGCATCATCACAGGAGAAGCTCATCTCTTTCCTCTTAGTCTTTTTCCTCACCATGGGTGATAACGTAACAGAGGTTCTTATAGTCAAGATTACCAGAGACATCTGGAGGGAAAGCAGCAAACATCTGTTTAATCTGCCAAGCAAACAGGAGATAAGTGTTACAAACATAGGACTGTGGGACAGCAACATGTACTGGTTTTCGGTTCCCCCCACCAGTTCAGCTCCCTTCTGCCTTGATCTGTTAACCTCGATGGAAGATTATTGCTTCGCTTCAGTAAAACTGAAATAGGAATCAGGACACAACCAGTTAATACAGCCCTGCCAGAATCCCAACAAGTACCCTGTCAAAAAGAGCATTCCTGAAATCCAGGTAAGCCCTGGCCAAGTACTGCACTTTGGACTGTTCTTGCCATGAAGCAACTCCGCTCAACCTCCTCTTGTGAAAATGAAGTCCCTCTAAACTCTTCCCAGCCAGCAGAATCCATGTTCAGTCTCACACAAACCACAAAGTCAGTACCTCGTTTCAGAACTCATTTCAGATTTCAAACAAAATAACTCTCACAGAAATGGAAACCAGATCACAGTCCCCACCCAAACCCACTTAAACTCTAGTAAATCCGTTGCCCATCTCACCATAGGAAAGAACAGCAAGAGATAGGCCACGCTTACACTTGGATGGAAGTCCAAACAATCTGTTTGACTTTGATTTAGCCATGGAGCTATTCAGAGGAGATGCTGTGAATTGTTCCTAATTGCTAGAGCTGGCACCATCCTTCTCTCAGGCTGGATTTCAGCTGAATTCATGCATTTAAAGAGGGGCAAATTCTTCTTGCTGAATAAAATAGATTCCTAATTTGAGTAAAGACGGTCCTTACCTCTTCTTGACTGAACCGGTCTGCCTGTGTCATAAGCATTTCTTTGATGCTGTTCAAATAAAACGAAATAACCCGATTAAAGGGTGATAATGGCACATGACAATTCAGATGGCAAGATCCCTCCTGAAGTTGCCTGGAAGAAAATCTGTGTGACCGCATAAATTAGAGCTGTTAATCCTTACATGATATTGTAAAAGATGTTCTGTGGGCACCCATCAGTGTCAATGCCTCGCTCTGCCGACTTATTTTGCTTTTGTGACATTTTATAGAGGTTTAAAATTGTTTAAGGTTATTACTGTAATTGAAATACAGCAATTTGCTATGGTTATCTTCACCTAAAACGGTAGGTTTTCTCACTTGCTGTTAAAAGTTTGGATCACTTCACAAAACCAAAAGAGAGAATATTTTCTGTAAAATCTGAGGATGAAAGGAACAGAGCATGAAATGAGAAAGAGGACTTGAAAGAGAACTCCAACAGCTACTCCGAATCATCATCTGAGAATCCCTTTATTTGCATGCAGTCATTCCCAGAGGAGACCATGAAACTGCATGAGACCTGTTGTATTTCATGGTACAATGTCTTGTTCTGGAGTTACAGCACTGTAACAAGGAGCTTATCCCACACACAATCTGCATCTTATGCAATTACATCAAAGAGAATATTCTGGGGACAGACTCTCAGCTGATTTACCCTCTGTTTTCAAACCCATTGTGGGAAATCAGTCGAGCATGTAATTTTTTTACCTAAGTTCACAGGTGAATGAATAGAAAAGCCAGGGAGAATGATCACTGCTCTTAGCCTCACCCCCTTAGATAAAATGTCTTTATATTTCACCCAGTGCTGAGGACAGGACATGCCCAATGTGCTAGAACTTCCACCAGTATGAACTCAGTTATATTATGTAAACATCCCTTTCACTTGCACTAATAATTCCCCCTTCCTGCAGAAAACCTATATTAATCTCAGAGAGTTTGCATTCACACTGAAGAGGCAGAGGTGGCTCCTTTTTTGACTACCAAAGGTACTCACATATTTTCAGTACTCTTTCTAGAGCAGTAAAGCAGACTGTAAAGCTGTGATAACAGATGAGCCGTCTGTTGTACAAACCCAAAAGCTGAAACAAGCATAAAAATCTGGTTTTGTTTGTAGATTTGAAAAGAGGCTGCTTTTTGGAGGAATTTGTGTGGGGGAGTGAGAGCAAGAGCTCTTCTGGAACAGCCCTTTCTGTTTGGTTTTTTTTTTAATGTGAATACTTATTTCTGCTTTTTAAAGTGAATATTTGAAACTAAGTATTTTTAATAGAAATCATGCCTGCACAGGAACACTTCCATATGAGCAAAATTCACCTACTGCTGATGCAGATGTTCTGGCAAAACAGAAAAGCTTCCCTTTCTGCTCCCATACACCATGGATCTTGAGTCAAGAAAGTCACACAGATAAAAGTGTAGTTCTGATGGCAAAGCTACAACTGAACTTCTTCATATCTCTGACACACATATTTTTTCCAGTAAAAGGCTACAACAAAGACATGGCCCAATTTGCATAAGAGGCACATACGCTTCTGAATCTCTTTCTTGTTGATGTGAAGTGCTCATTTGGAAGGACAGAAAGGGAAAACTGAAAAAAGAAGGTTCTGGGTAAGGATCTTAACCATAACGACAAAAGTGAAGATATCTATTCAAGTTCTAGGAAATACTCTGAAGTTGCAGAAAGAGCTTAAGCTATTGTATATATTTTTCCTGCATGACTTTACCATTCTCTTTAATTTAGCAAAGCCTTTTCCCGTCTCTTTTTTCTCACATTGCTCTTTCTATTTTGTTATCCCAGCCATTTGCTATGTGCCTGCATTTTTTGAAGTGGAATTCTCAAATGATCAGTGGGTGAAAGAGTAGAGAGATCATCCTCATCAGCATGAGCTGATTATTGGATATATGTGCACAGGGGCAAACAGCATTAGCAAATGTAAATAGGAAGTGTGATACAGGAAGGAGCTTGGTGAATAGAAGGAAGCACTTACAGCAATTTTGTTAGAAGTCACAAATAAACTTCATCACAAACAGGACTGAATTAAAGAGATCTGGGCACTGTGTGTCTTCTGTTCACATGCTTAAAGTATTTAGGGGAAAAGAAAAGATCAAATATCTAATTACAGTCTTCTGATGCACAGCCCAGTAGGCTCTGGCACTCTCAGAAGGAAGAAGGACTGAGTTAAGGATCTATGCACATTTTCCATTATTTATTTTATAGGGAAACAAACATTCACAGTTTCCAAAGCTACAGATTATACACTTTTTTCTTTGTGTATCTTGTTTTCTTTTTTTGAAGACTATTTGCTCCTCAAATAAAAAGAAAAAATCAAAGTCTTCTGGGCAAAAGAGAATATCCATTTGCTTTGACATAGGAGTCTAAATGTCACCTCTTGTCCTGCCTGGCATCAGTTCTTTCTACTAGTACAGATACTTTGGGTTTTTAAATTATCTGTGAAATCTATGAGACATCTTGGTTTTCCACTGGGTTTGCCCTTTCTATAATGCTGGCTTGGAGGAAAACAGGTGAGTTGAAATGAGCAGTGCTCTATAGCTACAATGAGACACATCACTAGCTCAGCCAAACTAAGCTCCAAAGGTCCGGATGCAGCTCAGCTCCCTGGGTCCATTTTCATCTGGTACAAATCTGAACACTTTTTTTTGCATGGTGATGAGGCACAGTTGATGTTGGCCTGACTCACTTTGTCCCACAGATGGCATTTAGGACTGAATCATCCAACCTTTCCGAATGCTATGCCAGTTTACACCAGCTGAGAATGCGACCAAAAGCATTTTCTCTTTTTAACATCATGCTATAGGAAGGATTTGATGTGTGGTATAATGATGCAGATAAACAAAGTCTGTCATTGAACTTGGAAGTAAGTTATAAACTCCTGGAGCTTCTGGAAAGGTTAGAAGACTCCATCCCAGCTTCCATCAGATGGACTAAGTGAGTCATTTCCAGACTAGAGGTGAAAACACGCAGAGGGAAGAGACATAAAAATCCCCACAAGGAGGTTAACCCCATGAACATAAAAAGAAGTTCTTATTAAAAGGTCAGTATGGCTGCTTTTAGAGAGAAACATTCCAGGATTTTTTTATATGGAGAAATATTATTTATTAACATTAACTGTCGTTTGAAATGGCTGTTTGAGCCAGCAGAAAGATTATTTCAAAACCTTCCAATGTCTAAGTTTTGGAAGCATATGAATAGAAGTTAAACCTCAAAGACATTCACGGAATTGATTTAATGGTTTGTTCTGTAATGATCAACATTACCCTCGGGTCTAATAAGTAAACATTATGCTCTGTTGTGGTGATGAACTAAAACAATTGTCTAATGTTAGCAGTGCAGTGGGGGTAGGGACAAGGTTGACCTTTTTCATCAAGGAAAAATAAAAGTATTCCTCTCTCATCTTCATTTTGGAGTGTGATACTGCATTCCTAATTTGCCCCAAACTCCAACAATTGGCTTCCAGCATCCAAGGAATGTAGAACAGGACACAGGGTGGCAAGCCGCAGATTTTGTATGCAGTATATTGTTACAGATAGTGGCGGGAAATACAACATTTCATGGGCTTTGTATTATCAGAGGGTTGTATTTCATGCTTGTGATTTCACTGCTGTGTGATCTGGCCTATTTGGCAACAGGCTACCTTTTATTCTCATTGTTTGAGTCACTTCTGATGTGTTTCTCTGACTGCTCTTCCCCAGCTGGTTGGATAATGTTAACCCAAAAGCAATAGGGATGCCTGTTAACCCTCTATTCTTTCAGACTGTTTGCTACATCCACTTGTGGTTTAATTACTTTGGAAGTTTAGTGAAAAGACTGTTTCGTTGCTTTGTTTTTACATACTGTGTACCAGAATAGGACTCTCGGACCCACTGGCTTACTGTCATAGAAAAGCATATTGGCAATGGATAGAAATACTTTGTGTGAATTTTGCCTTTTCAACTAACTTTTGTGAGACATTGGTAGTCGCAGATAATGTCATAGAAAACTCCACCTTTGAGGTTCTGGTCAAAGGTTTAGTTTTCATTTACCTTATGATGACATTAGCAGAATTAATTGGTGCAAATACAGTTTTGTAACTCATGGATCCCTAATAAATTTCCTATACATATTATGCTTTGTAAAATCTACCTGTAGTGGAAATGTAGACCCCAAATTTCTGAGGGAATTTAAGTATATAGATAAATCTAGGCATATAAAGCATTTCACTAGAACCACAGGTCAGATCTCCTCATCCACTGCCCTGATCTGATACTATTTATCTCATTTACCTGAGGGTCTCCTTACACCCTCTGACAGTGCAATGAGGATTTACATGTGTGCAATTAGCACTTCAAGTCCTTTTACCTGGCTTTGGTGGTGTAACAGTTTGTGAATACAAATGAGGTCCTGCCTCCTTATTTAAAATATGGCCATATTGACAATAATTGTAATCTTATTACCAGTATTATTTGCTTTGGCTCCCACCATATGTAGTGGAATTTTACAGCAAATTATTGTCTAGAAGCAGAAGGCTCTGATGGTGAACATGTAACAAGGAAAATGTCCTCACTAAAACCATGTCCCAGAGTTAATTAAATTGATCACTTTGGTTAAAAGGGGGCTAGGTTTCCCATTTTAGACAAGCACTCTCAGTTAGGCACCAGACATTCATTTTCATTTTACATATGGAGTTAATCTACAAAGACTCATGTGTTGATTTATATCCAAACCTTCAAAAAAGGCTATCTAATAGCCTACATGTGATTATATTTCCATTGCCTCTTGCAGTGTCTGAAGACAATAACATCTCTTTTTAGTATACAAATACATTCATACAATAGTCCAGTCTTTTAACTCTGGCTTACAAAGCTAAATGTTTTCTCTGCCTGACAGCTCTTCTGCCTCTTAAAATACTGCATAATATATAGCTTTTAAGCTGTTCTTTAAACCTGTGCAATTATTATTATTACTATTATTCTTTTAAAAGGATTTGAAATAAACTTACTAGTCTGCCTTTATGTGGCCTTTTCCTTCTGGGTCGAAAATCTTAAAAGCATTCAGAATGGTTTCTTCTGGGTCCGTGCCTAAAATTAATGAAATATAATTTAGCAGCCTGGATGTGTTTCTATAGCTTCTGAATACTTGCTAAGTAATTGCATTCACTCGAAAACAGAGCAAAATGGAAAATTCTGCAGTTGTAGGTTTGAAGACAAAGGTTCCTTCAGTCGGCAGCATTTGTCATGTCAGATAAACAATAGAGGTGAATAGTTCAATGCTCAGAAGCTTAAAAATAATAACTCATATCTATTCTATGTCTGCAGGAGAGAAAACTTCCAGGAACTGGTCTCCAATATCAGTACCCAGAGGATTAGTGGCTTTCAGAAATGAAAATATAACAAACTGTTTCCCTCACTGGCTTCCTTTAATCTTGTACTGGACGTTCCTTGTAAAAACACTTTGTGATGTTACTTGTTCTTCACTGTATAGGGAAGGGGTTATTTTCTTCACTAAAGGAAATGGAGTTCATCCTAAAATCAGAATGACAAAGGAATGCAATGGAAACAGCACGATCAATGTAAAATGGTGCTCTCTGCTTACATTCTGCAGTGCACTTCCACTGAAGGATCTCTTCATTAGTGTTACTTACAGAAACAGGATGGCTTAAAGCACTAGACTATGGCTCCAAGATTTTGCTTTTGCTCTTAGCTGGGCCACAGACTGTTGGTATGACTTTAATTTCCTTGCTCCTCTGTTCCCAGCAGTAAAATGATAGTAATAGCCTTCCTTTTCTTCCATCCTTTATCTGTCCCATCTATTTAGACTGGAAAAAAAATGGGTCAGGGACTAGCTTTCAGAGTGCCTGAATCTTGGCTGGGGTTTCTGACTATTCCATAACACTGCAGATTGTGAGTACACTCACTGTCAGTTTCAACCCACACCAAAGATACACTGTATACTCTGTCACTTTGCCAGTGTTACAAAATATTATGGTAGTATATATAATAAAAATCACTGTAACTGTAGGAAACCGAATTTACAGGCAGATTGACAGACCCACGGACAAACGAAGCTACTTGGAATACTGAAATGTTGAAAGAGTGGTTAAAACATAGTAGTAACATGAAGAACTGCAGTTTCAAAGTCTGGCAGAGACAGAACCAGAACAGAACCCAGTCAAGGTCCCCTGCTCTCATGATTACATGCACTCACGATGCTGCCTTAGTTTTCTTTGTTTAAAAGGTTTAATAAGGATTATTAGTAGTACTTTAGTGGATACAATAATGAATAAACCTAATGGCACTGACCATGTATATTCTTTTGCCATGCTATGGGCAACGCATTCAAACTGCAATGAATATGTGATCCATACAAAGAGCACTGGCATTTAATGAGCATTTTGATTGTCCCATGAAGTGAAGTGTCTTCCAGCTCGGAGGAAAGGTCGCATTTAAAGTAGTCACCACTGTGGGGGGGGATTTTTTTTTCTTCTGTGTTTTACATTTTCTACTCTGTCATATCCTTGGACTTTGGCTTTGAAGAGAAGCAATGCAGCAGGCATTCTTTATTGATTAGCTGGTAAATAAAGTGGTTTCTTTGATGTGCGGCATCTCTGTTTTCTGTACAAATTGTATTATTCTGACTCCCTGTAGAAACAGCTCCATGTGGTTGGCATTAACATAAACCTCGTTTTGTTAGCTGTTCATCTGGCATCATAATCTCAATATACAAAGCTAAAGCTCGTCCTGAAAATCCCAGCTTCCCCTTTATGACAGAAATCAATTATAGCACAACAAATTTTACTTAGAAAGCACCTTTCACCAAATTCTCTGAGTGGTACTTAGCTAATAAAGAGTGTTGCAAAATTGCCATATCCACTTCCTCTAGCCCTTTCTCCCTTTCTAATTGCACTACAAAGGCTCTTCATCCCAATTAGTTTTGATTGGGAATGTGCAGTCTTTTGGCTCTGCTTCCTTTGCATGACAAACCCAACCAGAAGGGCATGACAAGCACAGCTGTGATTTTCCCTTCACCAAATGGAAATCAAAAAAACCCTCCTCCTCTGCTGGTAGCCAACAGGAAACCTGCAGACAAGAGGGGTATGCTTCACCATTCACCTTCCTGTGCTGGCGCTGCTTTTAGGCCACACAATTGGCAGGGCCAGACTCCTTGCCAGCTTCAGCCATCGTAGGACACAAGAGGGAAGAGGGGAAAGGAAGAAGAACAAATTTCTATGCTCTGTGTGGTGGTAAGCATTACAAATAGACAGGAATAGGAAGCAGGGCACCCCACAAGAAATAGTCACATATCCCAGGAGGAAGATTAGGCAGGAAAAGGCACTACCTATTCTGCAAGCTGACATCTGGAATGTAAAGGTGGAGGAGCCACTGTGACAAGTCAAATTGTTGTCTGGGTCATAAAATCCTCTCTTCAGTGTCAGTCTACAGCCTTTGCCATCACTTCTTATGCTTCCCAGACATGTCTTGCTCCTTAGCAATAATGTATTTCTTGGAGAACTAGCTACATTAATTCTTTCTTTCAGACCTCTCTGTTTCCTATTCCAAGCGTGGAAAGCCCTTCACTGAAACTGTGCTCAGCAATAAAAAGACAGAGTCCAGTAGCAACACAATGAATGTTTTTGAGAAGATGGGATCAGATTTTTCTGCTTTTCTGCTCATTAATTATTTTATCAAACTTCTGGAATGTGCTTGGCTAAGGCCAACCTTGCTTTGAAGGTCAAGGCTTTCCCTTACCTCTAATGCATATAGGAAAATGACCAGAGGTTTCTCTTGGCCTCTCCCACTCCCTCTCTTGCCCTTTCTAGCCATTAAGAGTATAAGAGACGCAACTAAATTACTAGCTCCTGCAACAAATTTAGTACCCACATTTCCTGGACTCCCTACAGTGATCCCTATCTACTCCGTGGCATTGGGCAAAATCCTTCTCCCTTATCAATGTAAATCTACTGAAATTATTTTAATTTCTCCCCTCTATTAAGAGTTATTCAGCAAAATATCCAATGGTAAAATTACTGTTGACCTCAAGGGAAACCAAGGCTGGGCCACTGGGTTACAACTCCTACAGAAAATGAGGGAAGGCCATGTTGCTCCTTCATGCACTGTAACTGCAGGAATGATGCAGACGTCGTGCTTGTTATTGAGCCAAAGGTGTGCAGAAGATTTTTCTTTTAGAAATACTGAAAATACTTTTAAACCAGCTAACACTGGGAGTGATACCACTATAGCATGAGCAATAGACTTCATTCAGCCTAGGAACCCACTGACAGTGAGTAACTCATCTGCACTGTGCTCCAGGCTGCTGTGATTTCATTACTTTCTGGACCTCAACTTACCACTTTCATGTTAGCTTATGTAAGCTGAAATCAACACCTTTGAATTGTCCTCTGGACCGTCCCATAGCCTTTTCATACTTCAGCTCTGTCTGCAAAAATGGAGATCACTCCTTGCCTTTAAGCAATCTTCTGTGGATACGTTATTATAACTTGCAAGGTGCCGAGATACTTCAGTGCTGAGGATCTTTGACAGATACCTCTCCAACCCCCCAGAGGTACTTACCTTTCAGCTTTTCCCCAAACATAGTAAGGAAGACAGTGAAGTTAATAGGACCTGGCGCCTCCTTCACCATGGCTTCAAGCTCTTCATTCTTGACATTCAGACGACCTGAAGCAGAGATCATTTTTCATAATAAATCACAAATTGTGTTTCAAAAAACGATTCCCATTCATCTCCTCCGACTGGGGAGCTCAGGGCTCTGTGCAGCTTCGCTAATAACATGGTAGAACACAACTCCAGAATACCTCGGTGTGAAACAAATTGGCAGAGCTGGCTCCAAGATCAAAGGGTGACTGAAGGAGTAAGAAGGATAAATAATACAGACATGGCCAGCAGTGGACGAAAGAAGGGGCACTTCCAAATAAACTGGTTTTCATTTTTGGGTGGGTTTTTTTTTACCTCAGGTGAAATACAGGCCCCACTGATATTACTGTAACAGAGTTCAAAGTGACTGAAGCGAGTCCAAGGTCTCAGATTTTGCCCTCCTATATATTAAGAGTAGAGAGCAGATGGATGAGTTGAGTAGCTGGATCCTTTCCTCACCCTTGTGCAGTCCTGTCCCTTTCCCATCCTTGCACAGTCCCATCTCTTCCCTATCCTTGCACAGTCCTATTGATGAGAACTTAGCCCCTGGCAGCTCTACTCAAACTGAGTGGCAATTTGCTGTGACGGTACTTTATAGGCATTGAAAGACTTCACTGAACAGGAAAGAAAGCAGAACTTGGCCTTAAGAAGTAAATATTTCAGGGTAACAGTAGCTACAGGCCAAAGTTTGCAAACTTCGTTGTCACAATAAAGAGTTCAGGAGCTTCTGCTCTTTGCAGTGATTCTGCTGGTGTCTGACTCCACCCCAGGGAGCTCTAAAGATTCTTATCAAACTCTTTTTAATAGGATCCAGATGGCAAAAGTCCAAATGCCTACATCACTGCTCAAGCCTCAAATGCTGCAACAAGGATACAACTCCAGGTTTGGGATCATGAGAATTTTGATTTTTCCTTTCCTTGGGAAGATTTGCTTTCATCTGCTTGATATTATCAGGATTGTGATGTGCATGGAGCGGACAATACCTAATCTCATGACATGCACATTCCACTTCACATAAAAGCCCGACAGCACAGAACCTCACATGAAGTCTTTCTACTTTCGTGTGGGCAGAGGGGCAGCTAGTCCATGACAACAATGTTAATTGGTAGATATTGCATGGCTCCTACATGAAAAAGGTGTAGCTTGTGAAGCCTGGATTCAGAGGCAAATCAGAAATGCCTGGCATGGACTCGTGCTTGGGTGGGCTTTGTATGACATAGCTGTAGGGGGTGTGCCTTTGGAGCTGCACAGCTCTACTGCACCCAACAGAGAGTCCCAGGAAGACCTTCACTTTGCTTCTGAAAGAGGCTGCTCGGGAGACTTTCCAGCTGGAGCTATGTAGTCAAATAGCAACTACCATAAAGGAGGAAAATCAAATTGAACAGTTTTCCTTTTGCCTCCTGTGTTATCTCATTACTTTCCCAGTGTAATTCTAATACAAACTTTTCTCCTGTGCTTGTAATTTAAACTGTGTTTCTTTTAAGTACTGAATTCTTACTACCAGTTTACCTAGCGCAGCGAATGTGTCTCTCAAGTCTGCTTTGTCAATAAAGCCATCCCTGTTCTGGTCCATGATGGTAAAAGCCTGTTGGAAGAAAAAGGAATATTTACTGCCATTGCTATGTTGCAGCGGACAATGCTACAGTCCCAAATACCAGTCCAGGGGGGTATTCTATTTATGCTGTGAAAAAGAATCACTTCCTTTGCTGCATCCACATCATGCCACATCACTGCACTTTCCTCACTCTCAACACATTGCTGTAGCTTGGCAAGGGGCTTAATTCAACCCACCCAAAGTTCTTCTTACTAAATTAATGTTCAGTGCAGTGTGTAGTTGGGCTGAAGCCAATGCTGGCAGCTTCAGCCATTCAGGCCTTAACCCATAAAGCTTGAATTAGGGAGGCTTTAGTTAGGGAGGATTTAGTCAGTTTACTCTGTGTGTTTTGTACCTTTCCCATTCCTCATTCCTTTGTGCAGCTCTCACAGTCTGTAAAACATTTAATTACTGTAGATATCTCTCTGGTATCAAGCTACAGTCAGTTCTTGTGGGCCTTAAAATGATCCATCACACAGAGATAGCTGGATTTTCAAAAGTACAGAGAAATGTAGGTTTCACAGTATTGTTTATTCCAAGTTTGTTTCCCTTTCCAATAAATTGTATCCTTCAGACTGCCCACTGTGCTCCGGCTGACCTTGATGTGCTGACCTTAAATACTTCTGGTCAGGAAAAAATTAACTTCTGAGAGAAAAAACACAGTTAGCTCTCCATTTTCAGCCAACACAGGATTTCTGTGCTATACCCATTATTTACTAAGCCAGCTAACTGCCTAGCTATCTATTTACCTATTTGCATGTCTGTCTATTCCCTGCCATCACACTTTTAACATTTCATTGATTTTGAAAGATTTTAATGACCTGAAATCCCCTTGGTTGTACTATGGGGAGTATTAGTAGAAGCAGGCCTGTCTCTGAAGCTGGTTATCTGTCTGACATACACATCAATATGAGAGTGTATCTTTACAATGACCAGGAATTATTCTGATTTCAGCATTAGTATGAAAGACAATGTTCTCCTGAGAATACAGCCAGCCCACTGCAGCAGGAACTTGCAGAGTTTTAAAGTCTATTGCTCTACAGGGTGCACTTCTTTCCATGACCATATTATATCAACATATCTTCAAGTAGTTTTACCTCCAGTTTCTTACAAAGCCCCACTGCTCACATTCTGGTTTGCCCATGTGGTTACTTGCAGCATGCATGCTCATAACCCTTCATTTACCTGCCAAACCGTCACCTTATAAAAACCTAAGCCCAACTCTTTAGAGCTGCTTTCCTTCCTCTTGGCGGGGAGGCTTGCTTTGAGTGGTGATCCCCACAATTTGGATGCAAACCAGAAGAAAATATAAAGAGCAAAGCAGAGCCCAGCAAGCTCACAGAAGGCAGGAAAAGTGTTAGGTATGTGTTGTAATGGGTGAACTTAAAATAACGTAGTCACAGCAATGCTGAAACTTCTTCTGGTTGAAATCTCTAGATAAAAATGTTCTGATCAAAACCAGCTTTTCAGAAATCCTTGTCCCAGTTATGCTGGTTTTAGACACAACATGGTCTTGGTTTTCTCTGGACAACTCCCCTGCCTTATGCTTTTGCTATTATTCTGCCACCATTCTCCCAGAAATGATATTAAGGTAATATCTTACTTAAAGCAGATCCAGTATAGTATTCTGACCAGTTCACAAGCAGCAGACCTTGGAGAAAATACAACTGGGGTTCATAGGATATGGAAAAGAAGTGGGAGAAGTTAATGCTCCCATTAACTGTGGAGAAGAGGTTTCAATTAATTTACCTGGGCCATGTTCACAATCCTTTGCATGTGTTTTTAGTCTCATTCACTACTGAGCTTTACTAGTGGGAATCTTCACAAAAAGTCAAGTTGAAAGCCACATGAATAAAATGAAACAGTAGCTGTTTATCACACTGGAAATTGCTTTGGAGGTGTAAGTTAGCAAAAACAGAAAAAAATCATATTTTAAACTGCCAAACCAATGCAAAATGTGCTGGCCTCACAGGCATTCTGAATGTCCACACAGAAAAAGAGCATAAACTCACCAAATTATGTCTCTAATATCCTTCAGCTTTTATGCCAGCCCATTAGATTTACCTCCTCAAAGGTCAAAGATGCATGGTAATACCAAATTCTTTGGGAGCTTAAATATGCTTACTTAGTGAATCTCAACATGTTGTTTTGTTTCATTGGTTTTATGGGAAAACTTGGCTGAGGGCTTCTTGGTATTTTTCTTTCTAGTTTGTGGGCATTATTAGAAGGGCACAGAAGAATATTTTCTGTTGCTATTGTGGAACACTAATTAATGCCCTGGTTCAACAAGGCACCTCTATTCAGGATAATACTTGTGAACTGAAGACTATTCTTATTGAAAACACCGCTTAAACTTAACTTTAAACATGTGCTCAAGTGCTTTCCTGAATCAGGGCTACAGTGGATGAGATGATAATTTTACTTGATTTTGGGGAAGGGGCTTGGGGGCTTTTCAAGTAAGTCTGGAGCTTGAGACAGGAGAGCGAGGGAGAGACAGACGGAAGGAAAGAAAGAATGAAAGAAAGAATGAAGGAAAGAACAAACAAACACACAAGGAAAACGATATACCAGCCAAAACCACAGAGATGATTCAGAAAACAACTGTGTGTTCTATTAAAGCAGATGGAGAATTGAATAAGGATTACAAACAAAACCTATGTTACTCATTAGCGATGACAGGAGACTACAGAGAACAGCAGAATAGCGACCAACCTCTTTGAACTCCTGGATCTGGGTTTGTTCAAACATAGAGAATACATTGGAACCACCTTCTATCTTCTTCTTTGCCTTTTTTGGAGCCTGTAACATATATAAGAAGATCAAATACATATTACTTTATCTGTTAAACACCCATGAAAACAAATTCCATCTTTAACAGAAGGAAAATACTGTCAAGTAATACAAGAGGATTGTGTTTCATTATGACAAGCTTTTTAATTCAGTCCTATATATATATATGTGTATGTGTATATATATAAATATATACATATGGGATAAAAAATGCTGCTTTAGTAACAGATGAATCTCTGAAGCTTTTTGTCATTCCCTTGCTCTGGCCTGGAAGCTGGCAGCTCAGATAAACAAGGACAGCTTGTCACTGTGCTGCCCTAAAAAAGCCAAGGGACCCAAAGCGTGGCTCTCTGAATATCACAGCTGGTCCACTGCTTCTTTCCCCAGGGAACTGCCTGTTCCTTGGATAGAATCACCTATGCCAGACCATTTGATGCAGGAGATTACTGCCCCTTCTGCAGTGGCTTTTCAGAGCTCTGTACTAGAGGAGGAGTGATACAAGCTTACAGTCTCACTTGGAGATGTGAGCAATTCAGGTAAGTGGCTGCAGGTATTCCTTCTTCCCAGTGCCTATGCTGGGATAGGCATTGAGGCACAAAATGAGGCCTTGCATGAAGACTCAGTTCAAGAGCTATAAAGGGAAATTACATCATTTCCTACTCACACAGAAACATTAAGAAGCCTGCTCTGTCTGGAGCACCACTGACTGAACAGATTCTTCCTATGTAGGAGCCTTCTCTATTTGGAGAATAATCTATATTCTTGCACCAACCTATGATACTACGTTACATTGCCTTACTAGCCCATATAATTTTAATATTCAAGATAGTCATCTTAAATAGAAGGGCTGGACTGCTTTTATCACTATTATGTAGTCTGAAGACTGAGACAGAAAGTTTGGGGAAAGAGCTACAATGATATCTAAGAATCTAATGCTCACTAAAAATCAGTTAGAACGAGACTTCATTACGTATCTTTGAATAAGGGCCCAACCAGCTTGCCTAAGACAATACAGTTCTTGTTCTGCAGTAAATAAGATCTGTGATGCCTAAGGATTACAGAAATGTTTTAACCACAGCATTATCCTGACTTGGGGCAGGATAATGACCTACCTCGCCTTTTGAGTTGTCTTCCAGACAGACTGCTTTTTTCTTTATCATTTTTGCTTTTAAACTCCATCATCATAGTCCCACCTTGTTCTCATGTCATGGAAAATTAGTCTTACTTAGTTTGGGCTACTCTGCATGAAACAGAAGGCAACTTCTACTGTCTCCTTTCATCAAAGTAAAAAAGCCCATGGAAGTTCAAATTCAATCCTGATTTCAAACATCCTGAGGAGCAGAACAGCTCAAGGAAATATTCCCACTAGACTCTGTTTGAAGTATACATTGTCTGATCAATTTAATCTGCCAGGCAGATCTCCACATGCAGCCACCCTGGTTTAGATCCCAGCTTGCAAATGAGGTCTATGGTAGACACTTACCCCCATCCCCACACTCCAGACCTGTCAAGCTCCCATTAGTTAGTGCAAAGCACTAAAATCTGGAAATAGGAATGGAAATTGAAAGAAAAATGTCTTTGTAGTGAGGATAAAAATCAGGACAGAATGCCACTACAGGCATGGAAAAGAAAGTGAAGAAGTGGAATGTTTAATGAATGTAGAAATATTGATTTTGGAATAAACATATTCTCTTCTCCTCCTACACATGAAATAAGTGTTATTTTGAGCAGTAATGGGCAATCTTCCATGTAACGTGAGGTGCCTGGTGGAGGTTTTCAACACTTTCAGATTGAATGGAAATATAAAGGACAATCCTACGTATTTACATGTATTTGTTCCCCAAGGTAAAAAGAAAGCAGATGTTACCCAGTGGAATGTATTGCAAACTGTCTGGGGAACTGACCACAGGGCACAAGGCTGGCTGCACGTTTGCAGATGAGGTAGTAGAACTGGTTCTCTTGTGCTTGTGTAGCTGTTCTTCATGAAGACAAAATGGCCTTTACCATTCTGATGCTCTGCTCTGCTGTGACCAAGTACTGCACCCATATCCAGCAGGGTAAATATTCCCCATGTTAACAATCTGCACCTTTTTAAGCCAGCACCACAATGAAGGACAGTGAGCTCCAGCTCCAAGTTTTATTAACTCTAAATGCCGAACACTGGCAATATACTTCCATTATGTCTCAGTTTAATGGGCTCTCTCTGCTGTATGGCTTTAAGCAAGGATTATAGCTGTAAGAAAGGATCAGATAAACCTAAAAGTTGTGGCTCAGTATCTATTAGAAACAGACCGGCAACACAAAAATATCCAAAAGTTTCTTTACATTAGTGAAGTCCTATCAAGGCAAAAAAGACTGAAAACTAGTTATCCAGAGTCCATGCCTGTACTAGGAGAAATCCATCCTAGCACAATACTTGTCCAGTGTTACTCTCTGGTTTGTTATCTCCAGGGATGATAAAGGAGATCCATGCCCATGTCGCTCAATCTACCTTTAGTTTTTCTGCTGAAGCTCTGGGTGTGGATCCAATTTATGATCTGCTCATGTGTGGAATGGGACTGAGACCACCACTACATTTCACAGGGGAAGAGCTGTTGAATGGAAATGGCTTTCCATCACCAGTATTAAGCTAAGTCTTCTGGCATCAAACACAGAGAGCATCTTGGATTATCAGTCTCTTTGTTTTTTGCATACACAGTATTGGGAACATAATTTATCTGCTCTGAAGGGCTGGGAAATTCATAATCACAGAAAGAAACTGCACCTTGATTTTGCATGACTGGTGGGAGGCAGGCACTATGAAGAGGAAGGCTGAGAAATAAGTAGGCGGAGCAGAAACAGAATACAGCCCATTGTCACTGTCTTTCTGGTGGGCAAGTCAAAGCAAACGGCAGCTCTAAGAGAATAGAAATAGGTCTGTGCTGCTCTCACTGATGACTTCAAACACTACAGAATCTTTTAGTGACCAGAATCAGGATTCTGACTCTGGAGTATCCTGAAAGAATGGTATTGTAAAAAGAGCAATACAGAATTGAGCAACCATATGGTTTCTAAACTGTCAAGGATTTAGTAGGTGACCTACAGAGGAGTGTGTGACTGACACATCACTTCTGTCTGCCTTGTTTTCCCCTTTTGTAAAATGCAGTGTGCCGAGCTGCACTTTGCAAAGATAGCTGCTCTGTCTTTGCAACATGTGCTTTGAGACTGACATACAAAACGTGCCAGATGAGAAACTGAAGAGCTGAGGGTCCCCTGGGCTTGGATTCCGAGGCCTCAATAGCACAGCAGTGGGAAGAATGTTGCAACAACTGAACAAGCCTATTAATATTCCTGCCTGAGTGTATTAATCACCCCATTGTGAAGAAAACAACACTTCACTTTAGAAGAGAAACCACAGGCTTACGCATATCACTCATTTGTCTCACTGGTGTTAGCACTCTCTCAATTAGCCTCGATTTTAAAGGCTTTTTATGTTGTTGGTTTTGGTTTGTTTTAGAAGATTTAAATGAAAAAATGGAACCATGCTAAAATCTGGTCCCAAGAAAATTCTGTTGAAGCAGGCATTTGCTTTGGGCCGAGTCTCCCTCACTGAGGTTCCTTATATTTCTCCTCTCAGGCAGTGTCAGGGAGCCAGAGAGAACAGGAATAGTGCAGTGACACAGGCAGGCAGGAACAATGTGTGTGCACTACCTTTGCCTCTCTGGATATAGGGATTCATCTTTTATATGTTGAAGAGGGGAGTGTATGCTTAAGTGAATCAGAGTGAGGAAATCTCTTATTTCAGGGTGACCTAAAAGAAAAGGGGGCAGGGAATCAGTTTGTATCTCCGTATGCAAAGGAAGAAGGAGCTGAAAATACTTGGTTCTCATTCAGAACATGAGGCATTATTTACCTTGGTAAATTCATAAAAGGCTGCTGCTAGAGCAGGTTCATGACACCAGAGAGACAAAGGAAGTGACACTGGATTATTGCAGAACTTTATCACCTTAATCCCTCAATGAATTTTTCAGACAGCCGAGGAAAGTGTGGTAAAACAGGCAGGTTCCTGCAAGATAAGCAAAGGTACTGCTCCATAACTGGCACTACTCCACACTGACTGCTCAGGTGCACACTCCCCCCTTCAGTAAGTACGAAGTAATCAACCTCTACTTAGCATTTTCTGCAGAGCTAGAATGTCCCCATGGGCAGCCAGGCAAAACGGGCAGCACTCTGCCAGAAGCCACAGTTTTGGTTTAGTTTGGGGAGGTCAGTTCCCTGTTTGGACCTAACCTGAGAGAAACCACTCAGAAAATACTCTAACTAAAGGTGACACAGTTTGATGCTCCTGACAGCCAGAGTTAAAAGACAAGCAGAAACACTTCCCCACTCAGCAAGTGATTGTGTTACCAGAGGAGGCACCAATGGAGGAGCAGGTCTCCTGGGAGAGAGTCCTTCAGAGACAAAACAGCAGAGTACATTATTAAGAGCCCGATTCGGTTGTCTTGTACCCTTCTGTATTCAGCCCAGAGCAAACTAGACATAAGATACTACCAGCTTTAAATTGCACTGTTTCACATTTTATACTTTCTTCCTCTGCGACTATGTCCATGACTACAGGAAAGACAGAATCATCCATCATCTTGCTCAGATTCTGGCCCCTACTGTGATCCACAGTATGATGTTAACTCTGAGTTACTCTTACTTTTTCATCCATCACACTCTTTCCTTGTTTTCCATCCACTCTGGGATCTCAGTGCTGACATTTCCTGTCTTTGAATTTTTGTTATCATCGAATCCAGCTTCTGAACCAAAACCTCCATCGCAGGCCTCTCCAACAGATTTGTGCAGAACTGGACAGGATTTTTGTTGATGAATGTCTCACCAGCTTGTTCTGCTGAGATAATTTACCCTGCATCTGCACCAAAGATCCCAGCCATGGACAAGCCACTGTTTTTAGTGTGGTTTGGATCTTTTTGATGGCAGGTGAGTAGCATAAGGCCAACCCAAGTGCATGCCTTTGAGGGAACAGTCTAGAGGAGTAAGCAACATAAACTGCTCTAAGGGCACAATTTGCATTTCAAACAGGCAGCAGCCTCAGATCATTCAAATAAAACCCCACATTATCAGAACTGAGAAACAGAAGACCTTTTTATTACCTACTCTGCACTCACAAACAGATTCCTCCCTTCTCATCCTCACTCCATTTTATACGTAGCCCCAGCCTCCCACATTCCCACACAGGCACACACACCTTTGATCCCTGCCAGATACAAAAATCTGTTGGACTGCATCTTCCCTGCTTCACACTCCCATACACTCAAGCATTCTCCTTTGCCCCACATAAAATCCCTTCCCAATACCAGTCTCCCTTTTTCTCCAGCTCAGATATACACAGGGAATGCATTATCTCCCCAGACTCATCTTGGAACAGCAGATAACCTCTCCAGTCACAGACTGCTCAACCTCTATGACCCAAAATTCGCCAGCTGCTTTCCCCACCCAACACATTTTCTTCTCTGGCATATATACGTCTTCCTCCTTCACATAAACAGATGAACGGTCCCTCTCTACATACAGAGCCCTCTGTGCTCACACACACATATGTACACGCACACGCATGTGCATATGCATACACAAACACACCACATTTTCAGTGGGTGAAATCAGCACTGCTCCACTGAGGTCAGTGCTTGTTTCAGTACAGGTGGTACATTCCAGACAGTTAAGCAGCCCGCAAACACATTTGATCAGAATGCAATCTATTTTTGGGCGTGCAGCTCCCCTCAGCACACAGAATTTGCTACAAGGTGTCACTCAAACTGAATAAACAGGGAATGTTTTGGGAATAAGAAAAAGGCTTCCTTTTCCTTCCTCCCGCCTCTCTTCTTCCCTCCATTCTCTCCATCAGCACAGAGCACACAGGGAGACATCACAGACCCGACTTCACTGAAATGCCCTGGAATTAACAGAGAGCTGCAGACAGTTCTCAGAACTCCATTCCACAGCACTTGTGTGGTCTGCTCTTGTTAGAGAAATTATCTCCCTGAACCCTGCCTCTCTCGCTCTCATCAGCCCTGGATGTCAGAGCCTAGTAGCACTGCCTGACTTGTAATTATTTTTTACTATGCTGCTTTGTCTGCACTAATCCTTTGAAAGTAGCTTTACTGCACATCTGAAATATTATGATGCTATAAAACCTCTGTAATATTTATAAATCCCTTAAGACATCATAAAGAGAGAAAAAAAACCTCCCCACAGAGTTCATCTAGCATAATTACATATACATTTCCCTCTGATTAATAAAAAATGATCACTTCCTTATGTAAAGATATTCTTCAGCTTTCTTTCATTAAGGCTATTTTTCTCTTCCCATTTTAAATCCGTTTCATGTGTCCCTGTATAGGAAGGTACCTCAGAAGACATTTTCCCAAAACAAAAGGCACAATGAAAAGAGCCACCACAGAGAATCATCGGTTGAACAAGGAGCAAGGAGCCAGACTAGTCTGTCACTATATTTTCACATCTCCTCACTTCAGCAATTTCACCACAGAATGTCCTGAACTACCTTCAAACATCAAGCACTGTGGTGTGTCATTGAACTAAATAGGTGGGAAGAAAACTGGTAAATAACGTTCTAAAGAAGAGGGGAAAAAGAAAACCTGAGCCCCAGCACTTGCCCCCCACCCCACAAAAGGGCTGGATTCAACTTCAGTGAAGCTGATTAAAGGGAAACCTGTAAATTCACAACCGAAGAGGCGCAGTAAGTACAAGGCACTGCTCAGTCCTGAAACAGTGGTTAGCGACTTGTGCACTCAGTGTGAAACCACTGACACTGGGCTTGCACTGACTGAAACTGGAACCTGGTTTTGTCATGGATTTTAGAAACTGCTTTGAAAGTGGTTTTATCCTGCTCAGAACAACACTTGGATCCCATTCATCACCTGCTTAAATGGGATCAGGTTCGAACTAAGTTTTGAGAATGCTTTTCATACACAATTCCCTCTCCGGTATTTTCCAGAATCAAATATTCCATAGCCATAGGGAGCCACTGGGCAGTATTACTTTAAGACAGCCTGAAAAGGACCTGCAAAAAGGAGAAACACAAGGAAAGAGAAAATAACCAGCTCTTGGTTTTAATCTTGTTGTTGTCATTCCTCTGAATTTGCAGAAAACAAAGATAAAGCCCAGTCTGCCCACACCGCTCCCTAGGCAGTTCTTTGCTACTTGGAATCACATCATGCACACCTTTGGTGCAGGTGTGGCTGTTGGAGTCCAGAGCTAAAAGCCAGCAGTGAGCAGGGCAGAGACAAGACACAAATTTCTGCATTACTTCCTATTTCTCCCCGCAGCCTCATGAGCAACAGTTACACAGATACCCCTTTCCCTCACTCCCCATCACACCATAGTAGACCTCAGCACTAATTGCACACCAGTCATTGCTGCCCAATGGTATTAGTCTTGGAAAGGGATGCAGGAGCTCTTCTCTCAGCAAATGTATCTATGTTCCTACCTTACTCATTTGTTAAACATATGCAGAAAAGTCCTTGGAAGTTCACAGCTTGCTCTTTGACATAGATCTTTATTCTAGATGTGAATATATATAATGTGTATATATATATGTGTATATATATATAATATATATATAATCATTCTAGATGTGAATAAAATCTCCTAAGTAGGAGATTATACGGAGTCTGGTGTGGTCATTACTGCTCTGTTTGACTTGTTAGAGTCAGAAAGAAATAGAGAGATCAACAGACAGACATGGGAAAGAATAAAACCTACCATAGTGCTGCTGTGCCTTCCACCCCTTCTCTGCCAACTAGTCAGCCAGCAAACACAATGCCAGTTGTCTCTTTATATAGTGTCGCCAAGGAATAAAAATATGCCTGCTCCAAGTTTAGACAATAGATGTAAGGTTGGAAAAGTGCAGTAATTGAATCCCAATACCATTCCAAGCACCTGTTCCGTACAGGGCTTTAACCTTTACAGGAATAATGCAGCAGATAAGTAGAGTAGGCAGTTAGGATACAATTGTACAGCACTCACAGTAAGCTAGAGCTGAAGGGGCTTTCCTGCGTACTTCTAAATAATGAACACAGGGCATGCACTAAAGAGATTTCAAGTGGACATGGCATCCTGAAACAGCAGAAAGAGAAACACCCGCCTTGAAAAACTGCAGAGGAAAGCAGCAATAAATTCGGGACACTGAGATCACTCCAGAGCCTGGTGCCTGCATTCAGAGCTCCAGAACAATGCCTGAGGTCCTGCCTAGGTGCAGCTGTAATGGGGAGCCATGGGTAAAAGCACTGTTCTACAGATGGCAGTTAAGTATCTCAAGTCAAGTCTGTTTTCCCCGAGTCTATCACACATCCTGAAGTCCAGGGGTCAGATCTCAAACTACTGCAAATTGATGGAGAGTCATGGACTTTAAGCACAAAAAAAGAATAGCAATGAATATGGTGTTGAGAGCAGAAGAAAACGGGAGGCAACATAGGAACCACAAGGGCTATGTCTCCTGAGGAATGCTCACGGACATTAATACCTACACATTCCATTGATTCATAAATCATGTTTGGCATTATCACAATGGGCCAAAACATTAACCTAGTACAGAATGGCATAATTCCATGACATTACATCAGATTTCCTAAAGGTCTACTCTGTATCTGTTACAGTATCTATACAAGGACACCCATTTAAACCAGCAGCAACAACAGGTATTTCAGGAACATATGTACACTAGCATCTGAAATACTTGTCCTTCATCAGTAACACTAACCTTGAGTCACAAAAGTGCTTCACCAATCAACTGAACGTTGAGACAGACAGACATACATTGAAGTATGCAGCTGAACAAGAACCTTGTTCTCCCTCCAGGTCCAGCCCCTTGCAGTGCTGTCATCTCTAATCTTAGATTTGAGTGCATGCTCTGCAGGGCAAGGACTGTTTCAGCTGTTACGAAGTACCTCAAACACCTACAGGGATAATTAAGTAATAAATAAGCATAATACAATTCACCTGGCTTTAGTGAAATTGTTGTGGATACAAGTTGGAAGTCAGCCTAGTGTCCATCTGTTTCAGTGACATTATACCAATATCTAGTGTAGCACAGCATAACAATAAATCTCTCAGTCCATGTGCCTGCTGGAGAGCAGAGCCAGGTTTGTATATACTAGATTGAATTTGGTCATCTGGAAACCTCAAAGTCAGGATTTCAAGGTAAATCTTACATAGTTTCAAAGGTTCATTGTGATAAAGACTTACCAGGTTCCCTGGGTTAAATCCTGATTCAACCAAGCTGTTAGGCATCCACTTGACTTTTACAGTCCCACTGAAATTAAGGTAATAGCTCTCATACTTACATTTAAGAATACAGTTACTTGTTTTGCAGGATCAGGGCTCTAATCCTGACAAGACAGCCAAATGAGCAGCAGCTTTGTCACTGAGTTCACTGGGCCCAGGATTCCACCCTCTGAATTTTGTGTCCTTTTTTGGAAGAATACTTGTGTTTTCATCCAGCCATTATCCTAACAGCTCTGTTAACAGATGCTTTGTACTGTTTCTTTGGGAGTTTGTTTTCTCTTATCTAATATCTCATCAATCATCATTATTATCATCAATCTGCTCCTTAGTTTTGCAGGCATTTTCCATAGTGCATGTACTTTTTACCTTGATCTTTGTCTTTTCACAAAATTTCTATACTAAATGACTTCTTCAAAGCTGTTTTTAAATGACATGACATGTTAGGATAAAACCCACACGACACTGTGTGTTTGTAACGCACATGTCCTGGGAGACCAGATCCCTCTCTGCTTAGTCTATAAAACAAATCCACAGAGGAATTAAGGGAGACATACATCTTGGCTTTAAAGGCCTGCTTGCTTCTGCAACTGCCTCCAAATTATAGAAAGGCTCCAGACTGGAGAGGGGAGGGAGAAAAGGGGGGGGATAACATAAGGACTGAAAAAGAAAGGCTTGAATTTAATTGCCCTAAAAATTTCAATCATTCAGTGTGGTAATTAGAGAGTGGCTGATTCAGAGGCAATTTCATTTGGAAAAAAAAAAGAAGAACCCAACAAGATAATTGATGCTAAGTGAATATTTTACCTGAAATATTAAATACCAAACTTAAGTCTGCCTCCAGGGCCCTTTCTGCTACCCCTATTGGACCTGTCTTTCAACTGCTTTGTGTTTTCCTCCCACATGACTCAACGGAACAGGACACTCGTTCGGAGCATCAGAGTGTCCCAGGGACAGGTTTATTTGAAATCTCTGTACTGTGAAGAAGACAATATAATGATTTATTAGTAAAGAAAATAATAACAGTAAGTCTCCTGAGGTCCAAATCAGAGTGAGATTTTCCAGAGTTGAGACTCTGTCTTGTCTGGCCATAAGCAAGGTCTGCTGTCCTGCAAAGGGTAACAGCTTTCCTTATGAGCTTATCAAGTATAGGCTAACAGCTTTCTTTATGAACTTAACAATACTGTCAGGACACTTCATGTTTAATTCTGGACTCTCTGATGCTGCAAAATGATACTTAAAGGTAGATCTCTGCAGTCATGCAGAGCACTGTGGATGTCAGTGTCACAGGGGTCTGATTGCACAGATCTCTTTGCAGGATGGAGAGCAGAGCTGCTTTATTGCACACTGCTCAGAAGAAGTAACTGCTAATTCTCTGTTACCTAACAGCTTAACAAACAAGGGCAGCATCTCATACACATCTTAAAGAAATGGTGCATGCCTGGAAATTAAGTAGATATTAATTCATACTACATTTGTAAATGGAGAAATGATAAAGAAAATGCATAGAATCATAGAATCTACTAGGTTGGGAAAGACCTTTAAGATCATCAAGCCCAACCATTCCCCAGCACTGCCAAGGCCACCACTAACCCATGTCAAACCATGGATCAGGAGTATAGACAATGCCTCTCAAGCAGGTCTCACTACAGTGAGAATGCCAGGTTGTTCCAACAAAGCCACCAGTAAGAACTACCAAGGTGAGGTGGATTTCAAGCCCTCCAGAGAAAACCAGCAACTTCCCTTGAACCACCCACTTCTCCTTAATCACCTTAATGAGGAGCTCCCCTTTTTTTCAGAGCCATGATGATTCCCTTTCCCCCTGCAGTAGTTTTTTTAACAGCTGATTAAATTCTTCATCCAGAGGGCAGGTTAGACAGTACTGCTCAGACCATTGGTTAAGCCTGGTCTGACTGCTGTATTTTGGAGCCTGGCAACAAGGCAAGTCTCAGGAAAGTTAGTACATTCACTGTAAATGGAGCTCCAACAGTTCAGGTACAGAAATGACAGCTATTACAGATACCTCTGCAGAATTTCAAACATATTAAAGTATGCAAATCCCACTGAGAATCTTCTCTCTCTGTTGAGTGGAGGCACATACACCTAGCTGGAAACAGCCAGGGCTGTTGTAACTGTTAATTAAGTTCTGTGCATTTGTTGTTCAGGACACTGAATACAAACCTCTTTCTTGCTCTGACTTACCCCTCCCTCTCTGAGAATTCACAGCCACTATCTAATCTGCCAAAAACTGTGTCCCTTTTTATACTTGGAGGTCACTTTATGTTACTTACAGTGTGTTGCATTATGTCAAAAGGCATAACACAACATAATGAAAAGCAGACTAATATAACTCAACCTGACGTCAATGACATAACATGATGTGGCTACTGAAAAATGCACTGTTGTCATTGTTTTGTGTTTTCATCTGATACCTACTTGCTATTCCAGCATGAGGCATTTGTTAGAGAATTTGGAGAAGGTTATGGACTGAGCATGCCTGATTCAACAGTGCCTCCCATCATTATTTCACTGAGATCTCTTTGTTGGCTTTGCTGGGGTTCCTCCTGATTTACTTTAGCAAGAATCAGGCTCTAAAAAATCATCACATAAAATGCAATTACATTAGGAAAGCCATCAAGTTGGAAAATGCAGCTCCTGGGAGTAAGGAAATGACAACGCTGTTATAGTCCCTGTAACCTTAGCTCTGCCCTCTTGGGTAGTAAATGAGCCTGTACTATTTTTCCTGCAGGATGTCATTTCACTTCGTAGAACTGTGTAGCAAAGCAGTTGTTCAATATTTCTCTTAACTTCACCACGTAATCTGTGGTCCCGTATCTCATTTGCTGCACATCAACTAAATCCTTTTGTGGGTTAGGTACTTTTCCTCTTCCTGTTTTTATTTGCTTTTGTATTGTTCTAATTACCGCGGTATATGTGTGTTTCAAACCCAAGGCTGAGTCTGTCTTCCCAACATATATCCACAAGGTGAAACACACTGTTTCTCCTTCCCTGTTCCATAGAGAACAGAAGGACAGGCCCACTGGGAAGTCCATTATAGGCATGGCTAGAATGCAAGGCAGCAAAATCCCAGCCTTTTGCTTTCATTCTTCATTTTTCCCCTGGCTACTTTACACTGCCCAGTGTAAAGTAGAAATGGCTACTTTAACTACTTTACAGTGTAATGGCTACTTCACTATCCTCAGTGGAAAAAGCAGGTATCAGCCTTACTTGTGAAAACCTCAAACAGTAATAATGAAGATAGAATGTTCTGGTGATGTTATGAATCCCTGTGAACAGCTCTTCCTAGTTCTCCATCCAGCAGAACCAAAACAGAAGATCCAACAGTAACCAGAATCATCAAGCTGATGGATTAAAATGAAATCTATGGTAATTTCCACTGGTGTTTTACAGATGACACAATCGAAGAAACATCTTTAGCTACTTTCCTCTAACACAGGCCATAGCATTTTATCAGTTGCTGTACGAAGCCCAGGTCTTCTGGTTGGCTAGAACATGTTTTTAGACATTATTGTTATTGTTATTATTATCTCATGCTGCTAAGGTGGCCAAGCCAACTCAAGCCATGGCATTCCCAGTGACAGAATTCAGCACCCATTGACTTTGGGCAAGTTTGGTTAATGGATTTGACCTCACTGTTCCGCCCTTTCTCAGGCCTGCAGTTTAGCATATCCTCCACACTGCTGGCCACGCAGGAGGTGTCAGCTGTACATGAATGATTTGGGAGCACTGGAAACAATGGGACAGATCACAACATTTTTGTGGCAAGATAAAATGTGATGAGGAAATAATTAATTTCTGCTGACAATGCCCATTCTTTCTGGCAGCAAGATACCCTGCTGAGAAGTTCAGGTTTAACAAAGCACAAGCCAGGAACTGAGAGAGGCTGGAGAACACCTAAAAAGCTCTAGGAAAGCAGGTGAGGATTAGACATCTGCTAACATTCTGGCCAAGCAGCTTCACAGAAAGGCAGGACATCTTCACTTCAAACTTTCAAAGAGTGGATCAAGCAGCCCATCACTTGACAAATGGTTCTCATTGTCAGAGATTTTGCCTGAATGCTTCCATCTTTTGTTTAGCTTTTGGTGAGGTCTATTCAGTCTTCTTCTGTTAGGACAAAATCTACCTTTCTAAATTAATCTGATGCATTTGTAATTACATGCATAATTTCTGAAAATGTTTGGAATATGGATGGCATGGATCTTCCTAAAAATTCAGGATAAACAATTGGAACTCTGAATCTACAATCTAACTATAGCAGGATATGCTAAAATATACAGTTCTACCTTCTCTGTCAAAAATCCAGCATAGCAAAAGCCCACTTGGTTTACAGAAAATAATGTCTGAATATTGACCCAGTGGCTAAATTCATGCTAGGTATCTGTGGTTTAACTGCAGATGAATACCAGAAAATGTTGGACCACATCATAGTGAGGTTTAGAGCCACTTACATTCCATAGCAGGTTACAACACTGTCGTGGTTTAAACCCAGACAGGTAATTTGTTCACTCACCCCCCCCCCCCCTTCTTGCCCTCCCCCTACTCCCGGAGGGACGGAGAGGAGAATCGAAAAGAATGCAACTCCCACGGGTTGAGATAAGAACAGTTTAGTAACTAAGGTATAACACAAATCACTACTGCTACCACCGATGATAATAATGATAAAGGAAATAACAAGGGAAGAGAATACAACACCTCAGCACCAACCGACCGATCACTCGCCCCCCAAGCCCGACCAAGCTCCGACCGATACCTCCTCCAACCCTGCAGTTTCCCAGCCCTTCCGGCTAACTCCCAGTTACATCCTGGGCATGACGTGCTGTGGTATGGAATACCTCTTTGGTCAGTTTGGGTCAGGTGTCCTGTCTCTGCTTCCTCCCAGCTTCCCCTCCTCCCTGGCAGAGCATGAGGCTCACAAAGTCCTTGGCCAAACCAAAACATCCTTGTTATCAGCTCTGTTCCCAAGCTGAAACTCAAAACACTGCACTACACTAGCTACCAAGAAGGAGAAAAAATGACTGCTACTGCTGAACCCAGGACATTATCCACCCCTTATTCCATACCATTCACGTCATGCTCAGATCCCACATTTTCAATATACCATCACTCTTATCTTAGTGCATGGACCAGTCCCTATAAAGCTGCTGAGTCCATCTGGTCCATGATGTCAGTCTCCATCTCTTGTACCAGTCAGAGCAGGAGAGACTGTGTGCAGTGTTCACACTTGTGAATAACCTGGGCAATAGTGTCCATTGCTAAGTCCACCCCTCGATCATGAGTCCATCTCTGTGTTGCATCTCTGCTCTGATGGCCTGAAGTGCCATGGGCCCACCAGGCTTAAAATAATTCACTGTCCCCTTCAGCAGTTTCTGCAGCTTGTTGCTGGGGACTCCATACAGCTGCCTTCCATCTCCGATGCTTCCAAAGCACTGGAGGGGCCCAGTGGACTAGATACTTGCCCATACTGTCCCACACACCCTGCCACTCATGACTCTCCAGCCTTGGGGAAAACCTCTTGGTCCCCCTATATTGTCGTCTAACCCCAGACAAGACCCAAACCTGACTCTGCTTAACTTTTGAGATCAGACAAAATGGTTGTGGGTAGAACACAGTCTGTGTGTGTGCCAACATGCTGATCCCCATCACAATCAGCAGGCAGGTCCCAAGGATACCCAAAAGCCATTCGAAACCTTCAGAACTCTCAAACGATGCTGCTGTACTTGTCACTGGGGCTGGTGTAGCTGCTGTGCTTGCCGGCTCTCCCACCACCAGCTTCTCTGAGTCCAGCTCTTCCTCCTCTGCCTTGCTGGGAAATGCTGCCTGGTCTCCTGCATCCTCCTGGGGCTCGGCAGGCGGCTTCCGGGGCATGCTCTCGGCCGTCGCGGAGCTGGGCTCCTCCGCGGGGCTCGGCTCGGCCGCGGGGCTCGGCTCGGCCGCGGGGCTCGGCTCCTCCGCCGCCTTATCCCG